TGTAATTTAGTTAGTTACGCTTGCCTTACGTACATGTACACACTCACACTCAACATGGCCCCGCACTAGGGAAACCCTGTGTCGCGGATGCCATGGTCACACACATAGCCAACCACAAATTACACCCAAACTCACGAGAGAAATAAATGTAGGCCATACAAATATTTCTCCAGGCCCGGGAATCCAACCTGGGCCGGTATCGGCCACGGAGGCAGTTTAACTAATCCAGTTGATTGTTAAAGTCATACTAGTGCTTTTCTTTTTTCATTATTCGTGGTCAGCCTTGTAAGTAGGTCCTGAATTTGTAAAGCCCTATCGGGAAGTATTTGTTGATCGATACTCAATGGAAAATATCTTACGGTTTAACCGTAAATGTAAAATTTTCATGCCTTGATTTGATTTCAAGAAAATATATTAATGTGAGTTTCTGTTAAACCATGCACGTGAATATTATAAATCGTTTATTACAGCGCTTTTTTAAGCAGCAATATAAAACCTCATGTAATATTTTATTAAAATTATCTTTTATTTTTCAAAAAGAATTGACCAGAATTATCACACGACAATAATAGTACGGATAACGGCACAATAGACTACACGTTTTTGTTCCAAAAACCCCTCCTGTGCAATGGAACAAGATACGTCAATGTGTAGCTTGATGTGCTGGCGTGTCTACAAGCATTGTATACTTTGTCTGCCTCAAGGTAGCCTCAAGTTAATTGTTTCTTTCAAATTACTCAGCGTATTTTTCACACATACACCGCTATATATATTGCATGCTGCGGACTCTCCTATATCTAACCTAACCCGTGGCCAACTAGTCCCAAACAACTTACAAACACGTGTTCTCTTTTTGCAAAATTCGTTTTTAATAATTATGAAAAAAAAAATCATTAAAGCTTGCGCTGGTAAAACAAAAACCAGACTCAGAAATAGAAAATGAATGAACTTCCTTCTGCTTATGGTGAATCGTTTGTTTACACACCTCGGTTGACAACCTACTATAAAACGACTATAATATCGATGATTATTAAATTATTTTTGCGAGAGGTATTTTATTTGTAGCATACAGTGACCACATTCCCCCACCATTCAAAACTGAAACATGGAAATTGCTAAATTTCACTTAATTTTTGAACGACTGCAAAAATAGGAGGTTTTCAATTCGTCCATATTTTTTTACGTATGTTACACTATTACTTCGGAATTTGTGAACCGATTTCAATGATACTTATTTTAACGAAAAGGAGGTAACTCAGTACTAGTCCCATTCAAATTTGAAGAAAATATTTTACCTCTAAGAGCGGTTACACATGACGACTTTTAGCAGCGATGCAAACGCGATGCAGTAGCGATGCATCGATACAAACGCGCGATTGCATTGATACAGACGCGCGTGTGCATTGGTGCAATCGCTTATAAACCACAAGTGTAACGATACAATCGCCCGTTTGTATCGATGCAGTTGCGCATTTGCATCGATGCAATCGCCTATAAATCGCAAGAGTGTGTGTGTGTGAGTGTGTGCGTGCGTGCGTGCGTGCGTGTGTGTGTGCGTGCGTGCGTGCGTGCGTGAGTGCGTGCGTGCGTCCTTGCGTGCGTGCGTGCGTGCTTGCGTGCGTGCGTGTGTGTGTGTGTGTGTTAAGTCGCCGTGTGTAACCACTCTAGAGTGGCTAATTAGGGGATGAATCCGGTATATTGGATTTCTCCCACTTTCCGCCAAGCGATTTCAATAAAACTTTGCAAATCAGATCAGATCCTCAGATCAAATATGACGATGGATGCAGGCAGATGAGAGAAACTCCTCAACAGTGGACAGTGTTTGGGCTTAAATGATTAGTTTTGATGAAGACTTCCATACGCATTTCAATTATAGTTGAGGAGACCGCAATGAAAACAGCGATAACGGATAAGCGAACTTTTGCGGTCTTTTCTTATATTTAAAAAAAATATAATTATTTAATACGAATTCTGATCTTACACTCGCATTAGTGTAACGTCAGAATTCGGAACATAAATGACATGTATAGAGCGGATTCAAGTAACGAACGTACGTTGCTTTACATATACATTTTTTATTAGCGCGATTCCTCAGTGGGTATTTTAACCGCGCACATGAGCCTCCTTTACAATCAAAGCATAAGATTTATTACATACATTTTATTAAGACCCATTTATACTGTGTCATTCTTCGTGATCATCATAAACGACTAACAGATGTAAAAACCCAAGCACAAACAATGTCCAAAAATATACCGGAAATTTTGGAAGTGTTTGTTAGGTAAACAACATTTGCGTAATTATCCACCAAGCTTCCATAGATCTAGTACAACTTTGACAGTTGATCCCTATTGTGATGAAATATGAAAATAGCAAGACTTGCCGAACAGTAGTTGTAGAGCTTCTTGTGAAAGAGTTCATCCAAAGAAGTACTGCCACCTTCTTATATCTATCTGCCGCCAAGAATTAATATGAGCATTACTGCGTTCAGGTTTGGAAGGGTAAACGCGCTGGTGAAATATCGCAGGATGACGGGCGCAGTGGCAGTGTCCCCCAAAGATCTTTGCGATTGAAAGCTCTGAGTGGTGCTGCAACTGTTATGGACAGGCGTGTCGCTTACCACCACGCGCACGACTTCTTCGTCCCGTTACTTGGCATTATGAAAAAAAAAACAGAGAATCAGCCACAGCCTGTCAACCGACCTTCGCCTGTACTTTCTACAAGATAAAGTCAAGAGCACATTTTACTTAACCACTTCTCCACCTTACAAGAGTCGCAGATTGAAGCTTTTCGCTGCCCTCTCATGAAGCAATTCCCATTCCACACTAATCTACCAAAATAATAAATGAGCTTTCAGGAAGAGAACGGAAGTGAATAAGTCTTACTTTCGTAAAAGTTAAAGGATATCGAATATTAACACTCTTCTACTTATGTACTAACAATTTTATTTATGGAACATTTTCTATCAGTGAATTAATGATCCGAGAATCAATTTAATTTAAAGTTTTTGTCGTATTTACCTATTCAACGGATCTTTTCACGACAGCTTAATTAAGGGGCAAATTAATAAATACACAATTCTACGTAGGTGCGCGTGAATTGCAGTTATCCTTAAAGTTATGTTGCTTACCAACTTCCTTAGAAATCTCTTATTTGGCACTTGTTTCTTAATTTAATCTCAAAACGTATTTTTGGATGCAGTAAACAAAATGTAAATGACGAGGTCTCTGATTTCTGAATGATCACGGTCACTCTGAGAGTATACAGGATTATTTTTAAAATATTGACAACCTCGCAGGACTATATTACTAAATATCAACTTGTAAGTTTTTGTTGTACTGACACTTTATAGATCTGTATTTGGTAGGAAGTAATAATCTGTGTGCCGGGAGACGTTCTCCTGATGGCGGCGTGCCAATTCATAAAAATATTTTGTTGGCAGGTTTTATTTGTTCCTGCGCGTCTCTTGGAATTTATTTATCAATTATTAATAAGAAATGATCTTTTGTAGTATTAAGTGCAGCTAAATAAAAAAGTAGCTCATTTCTTGATAAAATTGTATTTTTGTAGTTGAAGTTTACAGCTTGTACACTGAATCCACATTAACCACGAATAATAAAGTAGTAGGATAAAAGTAGTAGAATAGTAAAGAAGTAAATAGAATTGGCTACATTTAAAAATAAGAATAAATCCTATGTAATCTACTTATGTAATTTGACTACGATCGCTGGATATAGGCTAGGATTGTCCGTGATCTCGTAATCGCTGTGTGGTGAGTGCGTAATATTGTTTTACCCGACTTAGTGTAGGTACGTTGAGGAACCATCTTACATATTTAAGGCAGGCTTCAGACATTATCATCACACCTACCAATTATTCGCACCATTTCTATATACTCAACATTAGAGTATCGATACACACGTAAATGCAAGCAATGCCTGAAAATCAGCAATGCCGAGTGTTCATCATCTGTGTCCACATTACCGTTCTTTTGGTTTAATTGTTCGCTTATATTTGTGACGATGCGACCTCCTCCGTCGTCGTCCTGCCTTTTTATTACCTTTGCTCTGGTTCCTGGCCACTTATTTTCAAACTTTGAATCGTTCTTTAATTCCTTTGCCTCTTTTGTTTCGTTCCTTCGTCACTCTCTACATAATGTTTGAAGCGAACACTCCTGCTTGTCTTTGCCACTAATTTTGATCCGTTTACTAGTTTCCACTTTAAATCAAGTAACCTATGTAATATCTTTAAAATCAAGTACCCTAACTAATATTTGTAAACAATACGGCCCTATCAGGGTTAATTCTTTACTGTCTCACGCACGTTTCGTAGTATTTAACACACACACAACAGGGAGTGTTTTTTAATATTGTGCCTGTTTTTTTATACTATTTTTATTGTTACAGCCTTTACTTTACTTTATACAATAAATTCATGTGGACCGAGTAATCTATTATTATTGCTCCTTTTTGGCGATTTACAATCTTTTGATATTTGTTTATGTGTTTTGTGGATAAATAAATGTCTTTTTATTTATTTATTTTATTATTTACGTACACATCGCCCACAGAAACGACTGATCGTGCGGGTAAATAGGTCAACCACCCACCCCTCACCCATGCTATTTATTACGCTATCGCTAGCGATTTATCTTGCTAATACCATTGACCTTGCAGGTCGTCGCAAGGTCAATGGCATTAGGTAACGCAGAGTTATCGTTGTTTAGACATATCGGTTTAATTTTTTTAAATAGTTCATAGTACAGGACTCAAACAAAAAGTCGCAATTAATACAAGGAAAAAACGAACAAAAGGTTTTGCTTATATTTAAAAGATTTCTTCCTGCGGACCTAAATTCAACACAAGAACCAAAAAAAATATTTTTACATGAAAGTAAAATCTGATGAATTAAAGTCATGGAAAAAAGATGTTGTTTATAATGTTAGTAATATGGTCATGCGAGGTTGTTAATATTTAAAAAATAACCCTGTATATATGCAGGTGCTGTACACTCGCATTGCCGTGGGGCTGTGGCAGAGCTCGCACGGACTGCAGCATCTGGGCCGGGTGCAGTGTTGTGCTACGCAGTGCCCGCGGCTTGAAAAGCCCCGGCCGCCGAATAGCAACTACGAAGGTCAACGCACTTTCATTGGAACCACTGAAGCTCAGGTAATTTGACTTTCATCAATTCACACTCTTGGTATATATAATAAGGCCACATCTGCAAAATGACAACTTTTCAGGAGAGGGGTTTAAAGTTTATACGAACGAAATTATCTTTTTTATGCTCAAATAGGAGAGTTGTAAAATTTCACATGTACATCATTTTTTTCGTGTAGTTATTTTTATAACTTTGATATGATAAAAGCACTTTTAACATATGATCATATGAGGCTTTATTATAACCAAGGGTGCGAATTTAACGAGCAACAGAGGGCGGCGTTGATGACAGGCCTGCAGATCAACCGAACAGCCGTAGGTCCTATACTTTGTATTTTAAGCAATCCCCACACGAAACAGGCAAAAAGGCTGTAAGTATTTGTTAAACCGGCTCTCCAGCAACGCTGCCCAGATATGTAAGCTATAGTTTAGGATACGATGGAACTGGCATATACATTGTACAGTCAAGAGCACGTCAAAATTGACACTTGTACTTTGGACCGTTCTTATCGTAAGCGGCATAGAGTTGAATTTAAATCTTAAGTGTCAAGCTCGACGTGCTCTTGACCCTGTCCAAAAGTTCTTAAATAAATGAAGATTTAAAAAATGGGTACGAATTTAAATTGAGAAAGAGTAGCAGTTACCTAAAAATTGTAGTATATAAATAAAAAACCCATGTAAGCAAATTTTGTTATAATACTTTCTAATCAATATATTTTACTTATCTATTCTTCTTTCTTTCCTTTACTTCTATTTATTTACTCTTCTTTGATTTATTACCTGAATTCTCATCATGATGTTGATCGCATGTTTTTATATCACAGAAGGGGGTGCCTGTGAACGCCGTCAAAATCAACACCAAAAAAGCATGCCGCCATTCTGAGTCACGTGACTGTTATCACCTGAGTCACTTATCGCGTAACGTGCTGCGCGCGCGCCGCGGCGTTGTGCGAATGCTTATTGTGGTTGTACTCACCTTCGCTATCTGCAATCTACCGTTCCATGCCCGCAAGATGTGGCAATATTGGTCCAGTGGCTACCAGGGCACCAGCGATTTCAGCACCCTACTCACACCGTTAACATTCCTTATCACTTACTTCAATTCTGGCGTCAATCCACTGTTGTACGCATTCTTGTCGAAAAATTTTCGGAAAGGTATGAGAGAGCTTCTGTTTTGCAATTTTCACGGAAAGAAGAAAAATGGAAACTTAATACTATTGAATCCGGTTGCCGGGATTGGCTTACGGCGAAGTTCGACGCGATCGACGCGTGCCAATTGCAGCACGATTACCATGGCTCCACAAGGAGTCGAATCATGAGATCTACGTCGTCGCAAGTTTCTTTACAAGGCAGAGAATGTCGATATTTCCTGATTAACGGAGAGCACGGACGAAGTGACTGACAGCAGCGGTCTCTACACTGTCTCTACTATATCAATGAGGGACTTGTATGATTAAGGACCAATAAATTAGTTACAAACTTACATTACGTAATTAGCTCTGCCTAGGTTGGGAAAGGACGATCAACTTGTAAAGCTACCTAAGCTATGATTTCATAAGTTTTCGGAATACAAATAAAGTTGTGATTGAATTTAAGTGTGGATGCTTTGTAAAGGTCCAGTTTTGAGACCTGTATGTACATATCGATATGCAGGAAATAAATAAGAACAAATATTGTCAGGAAAGAGTATAGTGTAAATTACGTGTAATCTGTAAATGATATATTTATTTTGAGTATATCGTTTAGATAACGGAAAAGTTGATTCATTAACATTTTTCACGTCTTTGTCTCTTTAATGTTATTATCTGGGTAGAAGGGAAAATTTGTGGAAAAGTTTTGATTTTATAAGGAATAAAATACTTCTGATAAAATTTTACGCAAAGCGCTGTAATAGAATGTGGTTCATTATTATTTAAAATTGAATAGGAGTCCCGTCAGAGACTGGTCGTATATTTTTCCGGGCTATCAGCCAGCCAACGTATATATTATTAATGTATATATTTTATCAGAAAAGGCTTGTAAGGCCGTATTTTCCCCAACACTCTAACTACTGTAACGAGATCGGATGTATTAGAGGCGAAAGTTGTGACTTTGCGTAGCAGTAGGTACCATTAAAGGTAATCATTGTATCATTATACAGGCTATTTATAGTCGTACGTCCTAGACATAATATATATTGTACAAATTTTTTCTTGACCAAGAGGAAAAAGTACCCTACATAGTGGATACTACCAATTTGTCTAACCTTCAAGAAAAAGTAATAAAAAATATATGACGAATATTCTAAGTGAATTGTCAAGTGTACATAGCGAGTATTAAGTTATTTAACTCGAAAATTCAGGAACTGTAGGCTTGTTGTTAGTATAATTATTTAATTCCAGACAAATGTATCATTGTAGCAACACGGTAAGAATAGCTATACCCAAGACTTGGCTGTATGGTTTTAAACCTTTGCCTTGTCCTTTACGGAAAGATATATAAAAAAACAACCAGGTATCAAAATCGTATGGTCAAATTGTTTTGCATCACATTGCCCCATTGACTTACAAATAAATGGACGACGGGTCTAATACAAAAACCACGAAAAAATGTCCCAAGTCAACCTATTTAAACGTAGTGACATGTCAGGGAATATGAAAAAGCTAAAACGTTGAATTTAAATTGTAATGTCATCGCAGTACTGTCTAATTTTGCTTGCTTCGCTGTCAGTCGAACAAACGAAGACTAGAGCGTGAATGACGCTCTGTATACGATTTTAACGCCCTATAAGTTCGGACACTTTTTAGCGCGGATCCGACGTCCATATAATTGTAAGTCAATGCATTGCCCAGAGTAATAAATGTTCTCTAGATTACATTTTGTATTTTATAATAATATAAATAAACACATCGTTGTTTCCTGAGGTAAGACATATACAGCACCTGAGTCAATAATTATTTCATTTAATTTACCATTTTCGAGTTTCTGAACAAGTTGTTTGCAAACAATAGATTGTTTGCAAACGTTACTTCTAAGAAAAAGTTTATTCAGGAGTTTCTTGAAGAGCGAATCTACTCATCAATACGTTTACTACTTTTAATAATGGGACCTGAAATCACGGAAAACAGTGCAAATAATAATTAAGCTGTAACGAGATTCACCGTGCGTGGTTATGAGGGGTCCGTTCGGCGAAGTAAACCCTCGTTACTAGAAAAAGCAACGAATTTATCTTTATTTCTTTAATTATACAAAAAAGTGCGAGACAGGAAGTCCGGTGGATCCTGGTTGCAACCTTTTCGCCAGTGACTCAATACAAATTTCAAGTCATACAATTCTTTCTTAACTATTTAATGTTCAGAGAGAAAATCTTAACATCGCGATTCAGAATTTCAAATACAAAACGGTCACTGCCATCTAGCGGCAAATTGTAGAACTAACATTCCGGTACGAAGCTATTTTTACTCAACTAGAGTTCCATTTAAAGAAATTAATAAACGAACAAAAACAACGTGAATTTTATTGTTTCTTTATTGTGCCGCATATGAAATATTCAAATACGTTTTACTGCCAATTGTTATTTATAAATCAACGTTTATTTCGTTTATAAGATTTTAATTGCATTCCGGTGACTCTGCAACTGCAAAATAACATATGCAGTTCGAAAGCAGTTTAAATGCAATCATCGTCATCGATCAATCATCAACTGCGAACTATAAAATCCGTTGCTATTGTTAAGCAGTTGCCCACAGCAACTGCTTAACAATTAAAAAAAACGGAGGCAGGACTGGATGCCAGCTTCTCAATTGTCGGAATACAGCTCGTCTGACATGAGTCAGAAGCGTTGCATAACTCTACGTATGAACGTAGAGTTATGCAACGTTTATATTTAATCAGAGAAGAAATCATAAGAACGGTGGGAATGTCTGAAGCCGGTGATATAAAAACGTGCTCCATATCGTGAAAACCTTATCATGACAATGAGCATGTAGTGAAGCGGCATACTGGAAGAAATGGTATTATTAACCATAGATAAGATCTTTTTTCACAATTTACTGATAAGAGACAATTTAACTTATAGTCTTGCAATTAGTACACACGCCAGCACATCAAGCTGCACATTGACGTATCTTGTTCCGTTGCACTGGAGGCGATTTTCGAACAAAAATGTGTAGTCTGGTGTGCCGTTGTCCGTACATAAACATCAGTTAAACCTGTATGATGCGATTTAAATGCCCATGATCCACCCAGATGAAATAGGTGAACTACGAAAAAAAATAATTGCCTGTGGATCATCGAGGTGAACACCAGTCTGATGGTCCAACGGGCAAGAAGCGGATGCGATATCTCTGTAATTCAGCTTTATGATGTGAGAATCGCAAAAAGCCATTTTGTGGAAACATTTTTTATGTACAACCTCCAATGATTTCACCCGAATATGCAAAAAATAGGGAAAACCGCTTCTACTATCTACAATAGATCCGTTCCTACTAAGCCGAAGCAATTACCTAATATACGAAATAATTAAAGCCTACGGGCGGTAATTCATATTGGCCTGCGAAATGAGCCCATTTGGCTAAGTTACAGCATAAATTTCATTATCATCATCATACAGGGAGTAAACATTATTATCTTTACCTTATCAGCCTTAAATACATTTTTTTTAATCACCAAATTGTAAAATATTCCTAGACTTGCTAATATGTGTACTTTATTATTTAGTGTAGACGCTTGTATATATGTATAGTCATATTCATAACATATTTCTATATGTTGCGAGTTCAATGTAAAGTCTATTTATTCACTCTAATCTTTATATATTTATCCTAAAATGTAATACCAGTTATAAATGTTTGTTCTTTAAAAAGATTTAACATAATTGTACTATATTTGTGCATTGTATTGTAATATTTACAGGGAAAAAAGAAATTTTGCGTTGCATTGTAGTAACATTTGGAAACGGGAATAAATGCGCTTACATACCAATAGGTATTTTTCACACTTACCTAGTTTCCCGACGTTTCGGCCAGGTTGCACTGGCCGTGGTCATGGGCTGATGGCATGACTGGTGGGCGACGCGGTGTTTACATCTCCATCTTAGTGGTGGAATCTTCATTCACCCGCATAACATTTTTTAAACTATCGCCACACACAACACTGACGATGTCCATATTCTGTGTCACAGCCGTATTCTGGTACGCAGTCGATCGCGAACATTGAGTTTTTGCAAACACCGGATTCCATGCTGCAGATAATTTGAACTCCCGGTTGAAATTATTAGGATGTTTTTTTACTTCAATCGCTTCACGTACAACTCTTGAATAAAAGTGACGATCGGTGGCGAGAACCTGCGTACGATGAAACTCTATCCAGTGATTTGTACCATTTTCCAGTAAATGTTCCGCAATCGCTGACAATGACATTCAGTGACAGTTCTCGTCGTCTGGCGTATGTAGCAACTACCGCAACAGCAATCAATTTTTTAGACGCCAGGTGTTTGAAATGGTAATACATCCTTCGGAGTACCCACCATGTTGTTACTTTTATGGAGTATTGTAGTAATAATTAATTGTAGTAGTAAGGTCGGTATGGAGTATTGACGTAAAACGTGACCTATTTTGTCCGTCACTCCTTTAACATAGCGCATGTAGGCTGGATGTCTATTCACCTCCTGGATTCACTCGGTTCACTTGGTATCCGTTTTTTCTAAGTACCTCCTGAACATGATCTAGCTCCTGCTCCAGATGCTCAAGGTTACAAAGATCGTAAGCTCTGTTTTTTAATTAAGTCATTACGGATGGCAATAGACGTGGGTGGTGATGCGACGTTGCATGTAAGTATCTGTCCGTGTGTGTCGGTTTGCGGCAAACACAGTGCGTTAATAGCCCATCGGATTTCACGATTCTGATATCCAAAAAAAGCAACGACCTGTCCGCCTCCATCTCGTACGTAAACCTTATGTTAGGGTGAATGGAATTACGGTGTTGTATCCATTAATCTATGTCTTGGATGTCTCCCTTGACAATACTGAAAACATCATCTACGTATCTTTTCCACAGTCGTACAGTACTAGGGCCGAGTCTTAGTGCTTTTTCTTCAAAATGTTCCATCCAAATGTTGGCAAATACCGGGGCTACAGGGCTTGCAACACCTTCTACCTGGAGGTAATATTGACCCTGGAAAAGAAAATAATTTCCTTCCAAACAGTGTTTAAGTGTATCTTAACGGCATCTCGTTATTCCTCAGTCGATTCTTAACTATGTCCAGACACCCTTTGATTGGAAGATTGGAAAAAGTGACTCCACATCAAAACTCACCATTTTTCTTCTGGTTTCAATACGAG